TTGAATAGAGCTGCTAAATTCTTGCAACATGATTCTATTCAAGAGTTCTCATTAGGGTTTTCTTCAGAATTTTGAGAAATTGTATTACAAATGGAGTATGTTCAGGCATACTTCCAGGCCATGGTATGGCATTGTGCACATGGATAGAGTTGAACTTTGTTTTCACACTGTTTCCTTCTGGATTCTTGGGAAACCATAACTTGCCATTGACAAGGATTGTAACAAGTTGTTGCATAGCAAACAAACCATAAGTTGTACTTTAAACTCAACCAAGGCATGAAACATGATCAACTGGGAGCCTGTGAAGAATTTTAGTAATTGTAATGTGTGAGGAACTAAGAATATCAAAAAGCCATGCAAGAGGAAAAGCCAAGTTGGTCCTGCATTCTCTTTGTAATGAAATACCATCCTCTGCTCATGTGCTCCAGCATATGGCATAGAAACATGGGGCTCTGTAATTAGAAATAGTGCATACTGTAACTGATAATCATTGATAGCGTTTCTGAGAATTCATCTTAAGCATAGACTGTGCCCATGCAAGACAATGGTCCTGATTGATAATACTGTAATTTGTGCTTTAACCCGAAATATCATATTAGCTGTTCTCATATTGGTTAATTTATCAACTTACGCAGATGAAACACTTGGTGTCATTGCAGGTTTTTTTTATTTTTACATTGGGAACCTTTTCAAAAATAGTTTCAGGAAATACAGATATCCATACAAGTTGTATGTATCACTATGGGAAAGGTGCAGCGGTAATATACAGAAAATGAACAGTTGTATAGAAAAATAGCCCCCGGTGGCGCAGCGGGTTAAACCACTGAGCTGCTGAACTTGCTGACCGAAAGGTTGGCGGTTCGAATCGGGGAGCAGGGTGAGCTTCCACTATCTGCCAGCCTAACAGTGAGAAAACATGCAAATGTGAGTACATCAATAGATACCGCTCCTGTGGGAAGTTAACAGTGCTCCATGCAGGCCATATGGCCTTGGAGGTATCGCCAGACAACGCCAGCTCTTCGGCTTTAGAAATGGAGATGAGCATCACCACCCCAGAGTCGGACATGATAAGACTTAATGTCGAGGGGAAGCCTTTACTTTACCTTATAGAAAAATACAGCTGCTTTTCTCCTTTGCTCCCCAAACCTAGGTTTCTATGTTTTATTCTTTCAATGCACCCCTCAAACACATACTATAAATACAAAAAGATATTGATTATTTTTTAAAAAAAGGTTTCCGCAAAGCCCAGTGTTTGTCTGGACTTTTCTGTTATCTTCAATTTTAGGCAATATTTCACATAGTAATAGGTTTTCTCTGCATTTTCCACATAAGTTGTTTTTATCATTTATGAGCAGTGAGCTACAGATTGGACACACAATTTTGGATTTTTCTGATTGTAAATAACTGTTTGTTGTTCACAAAAAGAAGCTGAAATATTCAAATCAGAAATAACTGGAATGTACAAAGAAGCATTTAATCAACTAATATTTCAAATAATTTAATATTGGTGGGGTGAAGAGTACTGAACATTAGGAAGAACTTCCTAACTGCTAGAGCTGTTCAGCAATGGAACTCTCTGCCCAAGAGTGTGGTGGAGGCTCCTTCTTTGGAGGCTTTTAAACAGAGGCTGGATGGCCATCTGTTGGGCATGCTTTGAATGTGATTTTCCTGCTTCTTGGCAGGGGGTTGGACTGGATGGCCCACAGGGTCTCTTCCAGTTCTATGACTTTGTGTATATGGATAGAAAACTAGAATTATCATACATACTCATGTATAAGTTAAAAGCAGGGTCAGACGTCAAAATGGTGGGTTTTAATATGATGCCTGGGTAAGTTGAGGGTCATTTCACGGAGACGGGAAGAATCAACACCAACCCCAGGTGCTAACCATCCCTGGTGCTGCCACCACCACCATTTCTTTTACCCAGGTATTCAGAAAGGCCAGAAGTAGTCCCATGGTGGCAAGGGTAAAAGGTCTGGTGCTTCTTTTAGGTTCTCCCACCTTTCCCCACTCTACTCAGAAATCGTTCCTTTTTAAAATAAGAGTTGAATTATGATACTTACTATACTGGATAAGTAGACTCACTTTTGAGGGGTCATTTTTGACTAAAATTAATAAACTAATGAATATATACAGTCCTTCACATTGATCTGCCAAAATGTTTGAGTGGTAGTCAATTGGATATAAAAATAAGTGCCCTGGAGTAGGTATCTGGCATTTAATTTCTGAAGTAAAATCCCCATTTAATTCCCTTATAACAGTAGGAGTATAAAAATGTAATAATATAATAATACATGTTGTTGCTTAAAACATGAAGATTGTTGTTATAAATCTTTTCAGTAGTTGATAGGAATGGCTGAAGCCTCAAAAGAGTATTACGTGACATAATTTGTTGATGTGTGTAGAGCTTCCAAATCTTCAAAACAAAAGGTGTTACATAAGTGGAAAGTCCTTATCATTATTGCTAATTGAATGATGTTATTACAGTAATGTGGATACAATTTTAAAAACATATAGTATGTTATGTGAAAGAGCTTTTTATTCATCCTATGCTTCATATTAGTTGTTTTAACATTTGAAAAGATTAGTAATCTGGAACAATTCCCAACTATTGTTCCAGACAGCAGTTAGATATTTGGGTGGATCATGTAAAAACACTGAAAAGGCTGAGAGAGCATGTGAAATGTTTGTTTGAAGTGATATTACATCAGTGGATTAGACATCTGTACTTTTTGATGTGGTTTTAGAAGGTTTATAGTATAGTACAGGAATTTTAAATGGGGCTTCTTTCACCATGTTAAATCTATTATGAATTCTGAACCAATGTATGTTTTAGCAAAGCTTTTAAAAAGTTTGCTATACACATGCGCTCAAGCATACATTCTCACTCATATATAGGAAGTGCTGTTATGGAAACTAGCTTTGCATTGGAGCCACATTCAGAGGAAATATGAGTACTTGCAACTTCCCTGTACGAGCATCCTTCTTTTCTTTTCTCTGTAGATATGCCAACTTTCCCAGTGTAATCCCCTATTGCAAAGCAAAACATTCATGATTTTGTGCAAGTTTCTTGACTTTTCTGTATATAAAGATGTGAATTTTTCTGATAGACTTTTGGTCCTTTTACTGGACAGCAGGAATCCACAGTCATCTGGGATAGCTTCCCTCATGCCAATCCAGAGGCAAGGGCCACATGATCTTGAGTTCTTTTTCGTTGGTTTCTCTCTTTCTTCCTCATTTTTCAAAATCTTGCTTCTGTCCTAAGTCTGCCTTAGACCATCTACTCAAATACTTTATTCCTCTGAACTTGTAGACTTCTGTATTTCATTAAAACCTGAGGCAGAGATCTCACTTCTGCTACTCAGTGTCTACTGTCTGGAAGGGGTGGTGTTGGTGGTGGGTGTTGCTGGTTGTTTAACAGTGCATGAGCTCTACTACTAAGCTGTTACTTCTCAGTGTGTGGAATAAAAAGTAGAATGATTGGAGCAAAAAATGAAATACAGCAGCAACCTTTAAGATTATTTTTATTTTAGCATAAGCTTTCATGACAATAAAATGACTTCTTCAAATCTAATACATCTGTACTGCATCTGAAGAAGTGGGAATATGTCCACAAAAGTGATAAACAACATTTGTTCTTAAGTCCCATCACATCTCCCTTTCTACATTTTTTTAATTTAAGAGACTAATGTCTTAAGAATAATATTGAAAGCATGAAGGTGTCCAGAGAAGGGCAATGCTCAAAGGTTTGGGAACCAAGTCCTATTAGGAAAGGGTTAGGGCTCTGAGTAAATATAGCCCGGAGAAAAGAAAGTTGAGGAGAGACATGAAAGCCATGTTTAAACATTTGAAATGATGTCACAGTGAGGAGAGGGCAAGCTTGTTTTCTGATTCTCTGGATGTTACGACACAGAGCAATGGATTCAAATTGTAGGTAAAAAGATTACACCTAAACATGAAGAACTTCTTGGTGATAAGAATTGTTCTGCAGTGGTATACACTGCCTTGAAGGATGAAGGAGCTTCCTTCTCTGGAGGTTTTAAAACAGAGACTGAATGGTGATATATCTGGAGTGCTTTGATTGGGTGTTCCTGCATGGCAGGGGTTTGGACCTGATGTTCCTTGTGGTCTCTTCCAGCTGTATGATACTATGTTTCTTTGAAGTCAGTATGTGGAGACACTCTGACATAATGCTTTTGTCACAGGAATTTTGGTCATTTGGTTGACCAAGCTGGGAAGAATATGAATCAAAGGGTTGTGGGTCCAAATCTAACAACCTGATCAGACGGAGTAAAATAAGCAACCCAGGATGCCTTCACACCATCTGGGGATCATATTGGGGGTCAGAAATGGAAACGGTTTGGAATGACACAAAGCAGACACTGTTATTGTCATGTTTCTGCTTTCATAATTTTAAAGAACTTGTTTTAGTTTTAATTCTTGTTACGTTTTAAGGTTTATATTGGAAAGTGTTTATAAAGTTAGTGTATTATTGATGTCATGGCCTATGGCTAGTACAATAAACAATTCATTCATTCATCTGGTGAACAGAGACCAACGTCAGACATCACACAATGTCACGTAACTTCTGGCATAGACCCCCATGCCCAACTGGGGTGAAAGCGTCGCTGGACGCTTTCACCCCAACACAGGAGGCTTCCCATTTTGTGCTGGCTTCAATGGAGCCAACACGGGGCCTCCCCATAAGGGCAGTGCTTTTTTCTGTGATGGGGAAAGCATCGCAGAGAGGGAGCTGTGTGTGGGGTGATGGATTCGCCCCACTGCTCCCTCTTTCTTAATGGAAGCCCGGCAAAGTGGGATGCTTTGCCAGGGATTTTTGATGAGGTGATTATATTCCATCCTCTGGATAACACTGAAAATTGACTGACTGAACATACAGTTGCCCCCTTAAAACTGTCTTATCTAAAATTAGCAATGTTCTGTTTTGTAACATCTAAACAATTGTAGGTGTAATATGAATCATGTCTGGTTTTTTCCAGCTGCAAAGGGAATTCTTCATCTGTCTCCTGATGTTTATCAAGAAATGGAATCCAGCCGTAACAAAGCATTCCCTGGTACCCCCGTAAACTATTTGTCATCCAAGGAAATGAGCCAAATGCCTAGTTGTTTCTTCAGCATGCCTCCTACCACTAATAGTACAGCTGCAATTGCCAGGGAACTGCTCATGAATGGAACATCCCCAACTGCTCAAGCGATAGGTCTAAAAGGAATGTCACTCACCTCCCCTTGTTCAACAGTGCAACCTTCAAGGCAGCTGGAATATCTGGCAAGGATCCAAGGCTTTCAGGTATGGATGGGTTGGAATAAAAGGCACTTATATGGTTGTACTGTAGCATTACTGTCTTGTAGCTGAGATCTAAGTGAGAGCCAACCATGCATGCCATATATATAATTAGACAGGGCTTTTAAGAAATCTAGGGGCTGTTGTAAAGACTTCAACATAATCACCATTTGTGGCCATCCGGAGTTTGATTTCAGCAGGAGGAGGAAAAAAGCAACATATGAAGTTTACCTAAATAGTTAGGCATTCTAATGATTGGAGGCAGAGCTTAGAAGTTACTTTAAAAAGCAGTTTCCCATGGACACATCTAGCATAGTTAGTTACCATTATAGTTAGATGTTATTGTAACTTTTTGTTACTAATTTTTAGTTATTTTTAAAAAAAATCAGAATACTGTAAGATTCTGCCCTTCACTAGAAACCATGTTTAAGTAGAGAGAGATATAGAAAGATTTTGTCATTCACTACAAACCTTTAAGTAGTGAAGTAACATGCCCTTGTAAAAGTAACTGAAATCAATTACAGTTATATTATAAAAGCTTGCTCTTACATAACATTCGAGAGATGAACAAGATAGACAACATACACCCAAGTTATGAACAAGATAGGTTCTGTAGGTTTGTCCTTAAGGTGAATTTTTATATAAGTCAGAACAGGTACATTTTAAGTGTAACTCCAGCCAAAACTATGTACATATTTATCTTTGGATTGCACAGGGAAGGGTTAACACACCTGTGGTGTTAGTTTTGTTGTCTGCGCCCATGTTCAGAAGATTTGGCCTCACTTTCTGTCCCTGTAATAATTGGATTTTGCAAAATTTGGCTTGTTGTGGAAACAAGGATTGGTGATAAAGCTTCAGTGGAGACACCTTTTCCTCATGATAACTCTTTGAGGAGTGCATTTGTCTTCCGAGAGGTAGATTTCTCTTACTACCTGTTGTCTCACCCCCATTCTTAACTATGAGCCATTTGTAAGTTGGATGTTTGTAACTTGGGGACTGCCTGTGTAATATATCTTCACATCTCACCTATTTCAAAAACAGAATTATTTGCAATTAATTTGGTGTTTGTAGCTGGTTCTCCCGAACTACAAGAGAAGTACAGGTTATCACATCCTTTCCTAGTCTAGAGATAGCGGATAGATTTTCAGAGTTAAACACAGTTGGAATGGAATTGGTCTGTGGTTGTGTAATAAAAGAGAAATTTACAATGAAGATATTTAGAAGGCCACTTTATCTTACTTAAGAAAAGATTGTGATTGATTACACAATCAGGTTTCCCACATTTGGCTGCAGCCCACACACTGACTGTCCTTTATTTGGAATTCCGAAATCTGAAATACTTCACAAAATTCAACATTTTCCATGTGAGTGGCTGAGATAGTGAAATGTTTTCTTTTTGATGGTTCAGTGTACACAATTTTTTTTCATGCGCAAATTTATTTTAAAATTTTGTATATAGAATTACCTTCAGGCTATGTATAGAAGGCATATATGAAAACTAAATGAATTTCACGTTAGAACTTGGGTTTCCATGTCCAAGACATCTCATTATGTATATGCAAGAATGTCAAAATCCAATCCTCATCCTTCTCCTTATCATCCAAAATACGGAGCACTTGATAAGGGATATGTAATCTGTGGAGGAAGAGAAATTCAGGAAAGCTCCCTTGTGTGACACCATAGACGTTATGAGCTAAGTTACCGGATGATTTCTCACAACACAACATGGAACTTTGACTTGTCAATGACAAAGCATGCTGGTTCACACTAATCAATTGCTCCTGCTAGCAACAGCAGCAGCTAAACCAATTTGGCTTTGCAGTTAGTTTATTGTATCATCTGGTAGCAGGCAGCTTCCTGTCTTGATTTGTTCCCTCCCAACAAACCAGAAAAAGAAGCCAAGAAAAATAAACTAAATTAATTATTTGGTTTCTTAGGAGGAACGAACCAGAGATGGGAAGCTGACCATTGCCAGACGACATGACTAAACCAACCACAGAGTAAAGTTGTGTTCAGCTGTTTGTTTAGCTGCTCCTTTTGCAAAGTGAGAGCAAGACGGGGCTTTTGTCGTGTGAACGCTCATGTTTCAAAGCCCTCTGCAGCTTTCTGGGCTAGAGTATGAAAAAAGGGAAAAAACAAGAAAAATACCTCTTTCAAACCCCTTGCCGTTCTCTTCCAAACTATTGTCCGTTTCCAACTATTTAATAAAATTAAAAAAGAAATAATTGTTAGCCCACCAGTTGTTATTACTTTCCCAAATCATAGTAATTTAAACAGGAGATTTCTAATTATGTTAAGGAGCATAGCATTCCCTGAACAAATGTTCTCCTGTTCATTTGGGGTCTGGTTCCATGTTGAATTTTGTATTTCTGAGTTCTAGCTTTCTGTTTTATGTGTTCAATTTATAATTCTTTCAATACTCATTCAAACCATTGTGGACCAGCATTTGTATATGCAGTAAAATTTGTCTAGCTTTCCAACCCCTTTGCAATGCACCTTAACCTACTTTTTGCACTTCAGGATAATGGTACAAAGCAGCTTACTCTTAGGGAGAGGATTTGATGTTTGCAAAAAAGAAACAGGAGCCCCATTCAAAACTGGAAGGAAGAACATCAGATCTTGCACTTGCCATATTCACATTGTTGCTTCTGTATAAACATTTTGGATTATACACTTTCAGACTTCCTTGACTCTGGGAAAGATGAGTATTAAAAGTTTGCCCAAGAGAGTCATTCTGCCAGATATCTTGTGTCTTTCAATTCATCTGCATACAGCAAGATTAGACAAATCTCTATTAAAGGAAATTCAATCCTCAGAAGTTTTCTTTATCTCACACACCTTTCTTTCACATCTCTCTGAATTGCTTGCATCTTTATCAGTGCTTTATTTTCATACAGCCAAAACACAGTTCATAGTAGCATTTTCATCAGCTTATGTTCTTGCCTCTTTAGCGGTAGCATGCCATTTAATTGCCATGAATTGTGTGCACTTTTCCTATCTTGTCCCTACCCCTCCTCCCGATCCTTTACTGGGCTTAGGAAAAATAGGATCCTTGTTTCCCCGCATGGCCAGGTTACCATTGATTTGGCTTCTTTTTACGTGAACTTCAGATATTCTCTCTAATTCCCACTTATTTCTGCAGTGTATCAAGAAGCTGGTGATTTTGGCTTTCTCCCCATGTCTCTTTTGTTCGGTTCAGCTTAATACCTTGGCTGCCTGAGTTTTTGGAAGGAGCATGAAGCTGTGTGCTGGATCACTGAGCACTAGGGAGAGCGTTGAACAGAATCTCTGTGGGAAATGGCTTAGTGGGCTGGCAAGTGCCTATCACCAATTGCTTCTCCATCTCACTACAAAAAGCACTTTCTGTCTGAGATTTGAAAAAGGCTTTCCGTTACAGGTTACCTTTATCATGTAGGTTCCCCAGTTAGGAAAATATTACATTTCTCAGCATGCCTCCTGTTTCATGTTTCTTCGATGTCTCACAGTTAGGGTGTGTGTGTGCGTGCGTACGTGTGTATTCGTGTAGGTTCCTGTTTTCTAAAGCAATAATCATTAACTTGTCCATTTCTTAATTATAAAAATAGATTCCTATCTCCTGACAATCATGTGTGCACAGTCAGTTATTCTATGCTACATTTTTAAATTAGCAAAACAATCATAAACTTCTCCCAAGAGGTGTTGTTACTGTACAAAGAAAATAAATCTATCTGTATTAATTTCTGTATCTTAATTGGCAAATTTCCGGTAAGGAAACATTCAATTTTTTTTAAATAAAGTATCTAATTTAAACTTTTTGAATTAATTTTATGTATAAATATAAATCAAATGTGTTAGAAACCATAAATATTTCAGGACCATTGGGACTATTATACACACACACATTCATACATTGTTAGTTAGGTAAGCATATTAAATTATTCATTACCTATTATTACAGTCTTCTGTTATGAAAGGAGTGATACTTTACTTTGATTCAGTTCAAATTAATGAAGCCAAGTACATAACTTTTTTTTCAGAATTTGAATAAAGCATTTTTATAGTTTAGGTTTATGTTTATTAAGTCACTTGCTTGGAGATTGACTGTTAAACAAAATCAGCTGCACATAAAAGCAGTGCTGCTATTTTTAATGCTTTCATACCATTTTGTTCATTGCTTCACAACCTGGATGGAACAAAAATAAAACAGAAAAAATAGAGAATGTAAATAAAATATTAAGAATAGCTTGTTTATACTTAAAAAGTGTAATGGAATTAATTTGTATGTTTGTTATTTTAAAATTTTATAGGCCATTTTGTCTTAATTTCCCAATGAATTTGACATTAAATTCAAAATAGGTTTTTTTTTTCACTAGGGAAGCATTCCCTATGGAATTAACTGGAATTTATTTAATAGGGTCAAACTAGTTGTAATAGGGCAGCTGTGCACTTGTTTGTCCAGTACACATATGAAGCTGGAATATGATAAACTAACCCTGTAAGTAATCTGAGGAAGGAAATAAAAATCTGTCCCCACTTTATTAGAATAACTTTATGGACATTGTACATTGACCATCAAAATTAAATTCTTTCCCCAGCACATACCACAAAACAACACACCCATTCCCTCCATACTCCCACCACCACTGCACAGCCCTTAATGCCACATCAGTGCAAAACTATGAAGTTCAACATATCAATAACTCTAGAATAAAAGCTGTCTCCTAGTCTGTTTGTCCTTGCCTTTGTCACCCTGTATTGTGTGCCAGATGGTAATATTTTTTAAAAAGAATATGCTGGGTGAGATGCATCCCCAAGAATGTTTTGAACTTTCTTAAGACTGCGGGACTTATAAAGTTCTTCCAAAGAGGGGAGAAGGCAACCAATGATTCTCTGTGCAGTAGTGGTGATGCTCCAGAGCGCCTTCCTATCTGCCACTGTGCAGTTACCAAACCACACACCGATGCAGTAGGTCTAGACACTCTATAGCACAGCGGTAGAAAGTAACCAGCAGTTTTTCATTCATTTAT